CTAAGCATCGACACTACAGAGCTCTATTGTCACGGTGAGGGAGCGCAGCCGCCTCGCGAAGAAAACCGCTGACAAGAAGGATATTCAGAAACTTGTTAGTAGGCAATATCAGCAAGAATCTGCCATCTGGGATACCATCTATAAGAAAGAAAGTGTTAACCCAGTATCACATATTGAGAAAGAGAGCAAATACTCAAGCAAGATATTAATGACAGAACGTTTGCCTACACTAAGAAACAATTGTGATATTTCAGGTATGAAAATGATGGATTGAACTTGATGTCATTCTAAGTAATTTATGAATACTAATATAATATTTATTTATCTTTGGTTAGATTCTAAACAAATTGAACTTGTATTACCAGATGAATTAGTGACACTCAATATTTAGTTTGCATAGTCTAAGTCATATTTCATATCTATATCCAAGATATACTATCTAAAGTTACTGGAATTGATAATATAAATATTAATTTATTCAACAAGTAGACTTCTTTATTATTTTTGGTCATAAGAAACTATTTCAATTATTTATTCGTTTTTTAGCTGTTTTTATCTATCTACATTACATGCAGAGGAAGAAAATAAAGCCCTATATTTTGTGTAAATTTGTGTTAGGGGAAGGGCTGGAATGTTATTGGGGGGTTAGTGTCTATTTTGTAGATCAGGAGTCGCCAACTACTATCGCGAGGGACTTTGGAGTATGCGAATCAAATCTTATCATTATAGCGCAAATAAACTCTCAAAGTTAACTAACATGCAAATCGATACTATTAAAAACCATTTTTCAACAAAAAAATTCACGCACTTCGGAAAAGATGCAACGACTGTATAGAAGGGAGAATTATATTAGTCATGTGACTGTGTTATTATAATTTTGTTTTTTTATTATTATTAGATCACAAATTTTACGCTTATTTTCTATACTCAGTCGAGATCGTGTTTTAGATAAATGCTTCGACATTTCTTTGAAATTATTTTTATTTTCGACTTGCAGCGATATTTAAATTGATAAATATTGTACTACAGTAATAATGCGAATGACCCAAATATTTATTATTATAATGCATGATATGATTAATAATACGTGCATTTAAAATTTAAGGAAAAGGTGCCACTGGTCTTGAAGTAACACAAGTATTTGGTGACTACATAGGGGGAATTTTTCAATAGTAACGGGGATTCAAAATCGGGTGACGGTGACTATAATATGGTTGTGACTGTAAAGGAGGTAAATCACTATGAAAATTACTGGGACCGGAACAGCCTGTGACTGTATGGAAGGTGTGACTATATAGGAAGTGACTGTATGTAGGGGAGGTTGACTGTGGCATGCCAAATTAAGTGGGTTACCAAGCGTTTTGACAAGATAAAATTCGCTCCAATTTAGATAAAACATACTGTATAAGAAAGAAACTGGACATGAGCCATGACAAGTATATCAGAAAAATCTCAAGCCTCTGATTTCAAGTCTATCAGATCCAGAATTAATTATCAAATCCGTGTTAGAGCATTTCACATACTTGAATAGCTATAGTAATGGGGGGCGATAATTATTTGATCAGCCGTGGAGCTCACCTACACCATGCCATATTTGTGATGGAAAACATGTGAATTATGGATTACATGCGGATGGTATAAAAATGAACCGGAATATTGTCTTGCCTGCAACAGTTCAAGCATAGTTTGGTCATGTGAAACAATCACCTGAAATGCGCAGTACGATGGGGCAAAAAATTCTTTTTTATTAGTTTAGCCCTTTTCAGTAAAAATCTTTTTTCACAATTAAAATACGCAGGTAATAAAATAAGTTTACTCCTTTAATAGACAATCAATTATTGATTAATTGATAATTCACGCAGTACACATAAAATTCAGGGCAGACAATAAAATTAATTATGATCCTGCGTAGTATTCGTTTTACGTGACTTTCTGATTGTATTTATACATCATCTCCCAACTCTTTAATTCTATTCATCTTTCAACTCTCCAACTATCAACAGCAACTAAAATGGCCACTAACGCTACTAACGCTGACATCGTCACCCAACTTGGGCTCAACAACGAGGAAACAGAAGCATTTAATAGGATGTCCCGACGAGAAAGACGTAGATTTAACGCCCAGCCAGACAACAATTCAAAATTGCATTTGTTCAAGCACTCGCGGAAAGAGAAAAATCTTGGCGAGAAAATCGGTATGTTTAGCTAAAATAAACATATTTTGTTAGAATATTTTAAATATTTTACTAAAACTATTTTAGCGCTTTCGTCGTTACCTTTTGCGTTAGGACATTGGCCAAAAACTAGTTGGCTGGCTGTGATCTCCACGTGGCTGTCCTAATTGCACTTATTATTTTATTTCGACCGCACACAAAGAGATGACGAAGGAAAACTTCATTAGTATTGAATTCACTGATTTTTTGAGATTATTATGTTATTAATTAAGTTGCGATGGAGCAATATTGATTATTGCTATATTGTTTTTTAATAGTCTTAAGGATATTACTTTCTATACTTTTATCAATATTAATTAACTTTTTACCAGCAACGATTTGTGGTATATTTTAGCGAAGTTTTTTTTTTCAATGTACGCTTCTGATTATCCTATATTTTTCTAACGAATGATTTCCAACCCAAAATAAATTATGGAAGCCGTCAGAATATCGAGCAACTCGAAAGTTCGTATGAAACGAACAAGGGAAGCATGGTAACGATGGTTATTTTGACTACCTTTATGAGGTTGTGACATCTGCCAGGCTCCTCTATTCTCCGGTGAAATTTTGGTAAATTTACCGAAGAATCTTTGGATATGAACCGTACAAATTATGTGACCTGATTCTTGCAATTTCATTGGTCAACTAATGAAATTGCAAAAATTTACTACTACATAGTCACTCTCGATAAGTCGGACTCATCGGGGCAGAGATTTTGTCCGACTTATCGCGAGATCCGACTTATCATATTTTATTAAAAAAATTTGCTTTTTATTTAAATATAAGCAATGGGCGAATATCAAATATTTAATGACAACAAAAGTATCTAGATATTATATACGAATTCATTTTTTTACAAAATTTTCCAACGTGAGCTGTTTTAGAGAAGCATTTTGCTTTCTTCCAATTTGATGCTCTAAGTCTTTCAATCCTGAGATTACAGATACATTTACTTTTATGTCAGGATTTTGTTGTAAATAGTTGAATATAATTTGAATGCTATTGGTAAGTGTAATTAATTTTCTTTTTTTATTCCCAAGTCGAGAGGTTCCTTCCATGTTCATTTTACTAATGTAATGTGTTTCAAGAAAAATTCGGAAGATTCAGTTGTCAACGCTGTATGAGTTATATATTATTCATGTAAGCGCGTTATAATTATGATGTAATAATAACGTTTTCCTATAATAACAGGTACACTCGTACATATTATATAATACGTTGTTTGTGATAATCACGTTCTAGACAAGCAAATGAGGTAATATTGCGTATATAGTAATAGCATTACAATATCAATATTGTCTACGATGAAAATTTTCATTGGGTAATTAATTGTATGTATACACTAAAACGGTAAAGATTATCGCTAAACGATCACGTGTCCGACTTATCGAGAGAGATTTGTTATAACCCGATCCAAAGATCGTCCGACTTATGGTTTATCGCGATTTTATATATGTGTCCGACTTATCGAATATTTTTAAATATTGAAAAAAAGGGGCGGAAAATTTTGTCCGAGTTAATATTAAGCCAAATCCGACTTATCGAGTGTCCGACTTATCGAGAGTGACTATGTACAAACAATAGCTAAGTTTAGTAATTTTCGGGACAAATTGGTGGCAAGCTTTATATAAGTAGAGCTTCCCTCATCATCAAAACATCATGTTGTTTGATCCTTTATGTTGTTCGGTTTGAAATAATATTGATCTAATAATCCACGGATTTGAACATATCCAAGGAAATAAAATTTATTACAAAGTCCTTTTGATACTTAATCATATACTATCCATATTTTATTATTTTTCCATTTATCGACGTTGAATATTGATACTTGAATCCGGGTTGGAGTCTGAGATAGCTTGCTTACAGACCATTCGCAGATACTTCGGTTAGCGATATACTCGTTGAAGCAAGATACACCTTTTAAGCGTGAACGCAAGTCAATATTAATATTCGACATCAATTCTCCCGTTTATCGTTTAATTAGTTATAATAATAATTAGAAGTGACGAGATACCCGACTAGTCAAAACACTAAATCGAAGTCCGCCCTGTTTAAATTAAATATAAATTATTCCCCTTCGATTCTGTGACAATATTGTAGTCGTAAAGGTATTATCATAGGTACCTCTTACTTAGAAACGAGTATAGGATATACTTCGTTTAGGGAGTTAGTAAAGCGCGCAGTTAAATATAGTCACTTATAAATTTAATTCAGTCGTAAAGACAATCGCTATTAGTCATTTTCAAAATCCTTTTTACAATCAGCACAAATATAAGCTATGTCCATTATCTTTGAATACTGCTACTTGGTGAATAGCAATGTTGAAAGTAAGACTGTCTTTAAAACGAAAATTCTGAAAACTTAACAAGCAGTAATTACAATCCTGTTTATCTCCTTCTGCTACCTCAAGAATTCTATATTCCAATTTCATGATTATTGTTTCAAAACATGTGTTTCAAACTGTTGTAAAATGTAGGCTTAGAATTTTTGTTCTTTTTCCTTAACGTTTTCTTTGATTACATCAACTTTTGTACTAATTTTTTCCTTAGTTTTATTCACTAACTTCTGAAGTTGTTGGAACTTCTTAAGTTTAGTTAATTTGGTTATTTTCTCATCTCTAGCATCTAAATCTTTTCTCAATTTTTCTATTGTCTGCTGTTGGTTAAATATAAAAACATCCTTTTGCATGGTTATTGCAAAGATTTTTCA